CCTGTGCATCATCCTTTCCTACCTTTACATCATCTCCACCATCCTGAGGATCCGCTCCTCTGAGGGGAGACACAAAGCCTTTTCCACCTGTGCCTCCCACCTGCTTATTGTTCTTCTCTATTATGGCAGTGCCATCTTCACATATGTGAGGCCCATCTCATCTTACTCACTAGAGAAAGACAGATTGATCTCAGTGCTTTATAGTATTGTCACCCCCATGCTGAATCCTGTCATTTATACACTGAGAAATAAGGACATCAAAGAGGCTGTGAAGGCCATAGGAAGAAAATGGCAGCCACCAGACTTCTCTTCTGATATGTAATCTCTCTTACCTGTAGTCAATAATCTTACATTAGAAAGTTAACTTTTACACAATTCATCTGTTACTAGTTATGTTTCACTTAAAATTTGATTGTGGTATTTGGACTCAGATTGCAAGAGTTGGCACACTCAACCCTAAGTGTACATATCTGACCTTTTGTTAGTCTTTTATGGGGTTACTTTTTTTTAGTTTTTATCATTTTTATTTGTTTTTTCCATTTTGGAATCAGCATCAAAAGATGGTGCCTCTTTATGCCATATTTACTTGATAGACTTTATGGTTTATTACTTGTCATGAATGTTCATTGTATTTGAGATTCTTTACTGTTTACATCCTCTTGTGGAGGGTTGAGAGGATCAAGACTCTACTTGAGTTTCCAGACACTTCCTGCCACCTATTTTATACAATATAGACTCAGGGAGGGGTTAGAGTATATAGGCCAGGGGAGGAGTCTGTATCCAGGGAGCTATGGAGGCGTCCTCATCCCTGCTTGGTAATGCTTTTCAGATGTAGCCTATTGGGGAAGGAGCATCCACACTGCTGTAAGTTACCCTTCAACTATGGTCTGTAAGTAAGTTCAATAAAGTCATTCCCACAGTGAAATTTGGCAGAATTGGCCTTTGTTTGTTCTTGGGACCTTAGGAGAAGATGTATACATTGTTTGCATCTCCCTATGTCAAGGAATTTTAACAGCAGTACTATATTCCGATGTGTAAAAGAATGAGGGACCTGTGAGGTGACTCAGCAGGTAAAGGCACTTGCTGTCAAGCCTGATGACCTGAGTTTGATCCTAAGGTTCCAAATGGCAACTTGCAATTTGTTCTCTAGCATTCATTCACACACCATGACACATATGTGAGCATGTACGCACACACACACACACACACACACACACACACACACACACACACACACACAGGAAAATTTTTAAAAATCTGAATGGCACTCCTTAAATGTTTGTCATGTTTTTAATTTTTTTTGGAAGTAATATTTTCAAACTTTATTTTTTAAGATAAGGTTAGCTTAAGGTAAAGAAGAAATTGTAATTATTTTATTTTATCAAATAAGAACATACTAGCCCTTTCCGTGGACTCATCGCAGACCAGGTGAGCCACCCCCTGCTTTTACCCAATTCTTGTCCTAAGCGCCATTCACCCAGATCCCTCCAGGCTCGTCCCTGCTTGAAACAGACACGTCCAGGCAGGGAGGAGCTCCCCGAATCTGGGT